GGAGGCCCCTGGCCAGAGCCCCCACACTGGCTGGTGCCCCAGGCCAGTCTGACCTTCCTGAGGCCGGCAGGGTGCCCCGCCCCCAGAAGGCATCCACCCCGCTCCCTCCGGAAGGAAGGGTGCAGCGCAAGCACCCCATTTTGGGGCAGGGCGCTCCTGAGGCTTATGCAAGTGGTGGGGTGGGCGCCGCCCCAGCACAGAATCCCGAATCAGACCCCAAGGCAGCTGTGTCCGCCGCGGGGCCCCCCACATCTGCTCCGGGTACCAGCACCATCAGCACCCCCTCCCGAGATATCAGAAATGCCAACTCTGATGCCCCGGGGACGGGAGCTTCTGGGGGGAGGCAGAACCCGCCCTCCAGCGAGTCTGCGACCCCCGGGCGGCGGGTCCTGGGGTGTCCAGAGGAAGGCTGAGTCCAGCAGCCACCCCGACAGCAGGGGAGGCGACGGCGGGGTAGGGGGAGCCTGTCCCCCAGGCTGGAGGAGGAGGCCAGCCTGGAAAATCAGCGTGCAAGTCTGTATCGTTTCTCGGAGAAGTAAATTTTTGATAACCGACACCTCTCAGGGTGCAACTGATCCCTCCCTGGGACGGCCGGCTCTGCCTTCTCAGGTGAGCCTCGGCCCCAGAGCCAGCGTGGCGGCTGGGCCCTGCCTGGGTCTGCTCGCCTCTGCCCAGGCCGACGGCACCTCAGAGCCCGGTTACCCAACCACCAACGAGACTCGCACACCTGAACGAGACTCGCACACCTGGCTCACCTGGCTCACTCACACACCTGGCTCACAACACCTGCAGCCTCAGCGGCCTGTTACGTCACACCAGCCCGGCCTCAGCCCGCACGCTCTTTTATTTTGATCCAAAGTTCAAAGTTTATTTATGCATTATTGATATTTTAATGCACCCATTACATCACCCTTCATTTTTGGACAATGTGTGGCTCCCCGGGAAATTCCCACCAGGGGCTCCCCCGTGCACCCCCCCACAGCTCTTCCCACCCTTGCCCTGGTCCCCCCCACCGGTCCCCTCCCCTGCAGGATGGCTCTCATCTACGGCTGCCTGATGGTTTTGATTTTTCCTTTATCGCTGCTACTTTTTCCTCTCTTTTAATATATGTATGTTTACATCATCCTTCATTTCTGTACGACGTATGACTTTTCATCTCGGCTGTAACCCCAGGGACTTCCCACCGGCAAATCACCCCTGCGCCATCGCCATGGTCCCGTGGGCATTTCCCGCCCCCGTTTCGATCCTGTTCCCCTTCCCCCCTCCCCCCATAGAATCTCTCGGGTTTATGGCTGTCTATTGCTTTTAGTTTTGACTTTATTACAACTGCTTTTATACTTCCTGATCCCTTATACTCCTGCTGTGAGTGAAAGTGGCACATTCTTGACACAAGGGCACACACCCCACGCCCAGGGCGCCCACAGTGGGCTCGGGGCGGGGACCCCTCCCTCAGGTCTCCACCAGGAAGTCCCGTTGATGAGGTCCTGGGGTGGGGGTGGGGGGCGGCTGGTGAAAAGAAGAAGCACATTCTGCTTGGGTGAGATGGCCCCAGATGGCTCCAGATGGCGGATGGCCGATGGCTGGATACAAGGCAGAGTCTGATCAAGGCCCCTGGGGGGTGTGGGCCCAGCCACCCACTGACTGCCTGAGGCCAGACCTGGGTTAGCTGCCCCAGTAAGGTGCTCAGCCCAGAGCAACCTGCAGGAGCAACTTAAAACAGGTGTGGGGACACAGCACCCCTCAGCCAGATCCCAGGAGTTTGCTGGCCCTCCTCGGTCTGGGCCAGGAGCCAGGGGTCCAGGACAGGGCCAGCCCCAGCCCCTCCATGAGACTGAGAAGTGACGGTCTGGGGCCTCCAGCCCCAGCAGACTCGGGGGACAAGGCTCCCTGACACTCTGGAAAGTCTGGAGCCTGGCTCCTGGATCTCCATCCCCCGGCGCATTCCATCAAAAGGGTGGGGAGGCCCAGAGGACGCACTGTGCCATCTGCCAGATATGCCCCTGCCTGCCCCCGCCTCGTGGTGTGTTTGCCTTCCACTTATGGTATTGACAAAAATGTCCTGGCAAAGGGAAATCTGCTCGGACATCGGATTATCTGCAAAGGAATCTCAGAGGTATGAGGAAGCTTTGAGATCATCTTGCTCTTGAAATTTGTTTGCAAGCCTTATCAATCAGGTGTGGACATTGGTCATTTCACGTAGCAAGGTTTTTTTTTTAAAGATTGATTTATTTGTGCACACAGAGCTGGGGTACAGGCCAGAGGTGCAGGGGCAGTGAGAGGAGTCACCAGAGCCAACAGGCCGACTGCTGAAGGGAGTGAACAGGCGGGTCAGGAGAGGTCTGCCGCGCCACGTGGGTCAGCTCTGAGGGCGGGGATCGAACTCGTGCTGAATCCTCCCCCATCAAAGCAACCACCAGTTAATTTCAGGGGCATCACCATTTCAAACATCCCCTCACCCCCCCCCCCAGCCATCAGGATAGCCCGATTTATGGGGGTGAGGTAGGGGTTCACACATAGTCCATTTGGAGTGGGTTCCTGAAGTGTGTACTAAAAAAAACCCACCTCCAGGCTCCCTTCTAGCTAAGGTTTCAAATGTGGTGTAAGTTCTGCCAACCAGCTGACACCCCAAAATAACTTTCAGTGCACAACCTAGTTCAAATGTCCAGAATGACTTGAGTTAGCAGTGTTAAATGGGGCGAGGGGGCTGCTCAGAGCTGGCAGGGGCTGGCCTGGAGGGGGCTCAGGTGATGTGGGGGTCAGCAGCAGCAGTGACCGCCTGAGAGCCCAGCCTGCACTGGCCAGCTCTAGGAACTCGCCCTAGAAATCCTTCGGGAGGTCCAGCCAGCAGCCACTCGCACTCGGAAATGCAACTCCCACTGCTTCTCTGTCTCCAGTTCCCAGGTCCTTAAGCACCTGGAGGGTTTCTGTGACGTGCAAGTTGCACCCGGTTTCCGTGGTGACCTCCCTGGGGATGGAGTAGGTGGACAGGGTTGGGGGACACCAGGTCTCCATGCTTAACTCCCTTCTCTTCCTGAAGGGACAGGAGAGCAGAGTTTTCATGAGGCCCACTAACACTTCATCAGCAGGTTTAACAAGATCCTAAAGCCTCAGTCGAGGCCCCATTTCATAATCCTGGGCTGGGTCTCTTGGAC